GACATTTTCTTAACCAATAAATCAATACAGAGAGTTGCAATACAGCAAACTACACAACATACACAATATAACATTGAACTTTGCAGCAGTAAGTAACATGGTTTTCAAAACTGCCTTAAGTGATGATTAACTAGAATTATATCTATTTATATTTAAACTGACACTACAGAATTCTTTTAAGTCTTGACAGATATGTGGAATATTTAAATGTAGTAATTGCAGTTGCTAAACCTCCTGGGATTAATCTGCTGGAGAGATAGAGATATCTTAGGCAGAGAAAAATGAATGATTCATACTGCAGGGGAAAAACTAAAAATGAAGTAATTCCATGTGTGTTTTATATAACTCTTAGGAAAAGAAGTTTATTGTAACTAATGAATTGTTAATATTCTGTAATAATGCACCATGTGAACAATAATATAATTTATATAAATGTAGGCATATAATTTAGTTTTTTCAACATTGACTTCCATGTTTCACAATATAGCACAGTTCACAGAAAGTAAAACAGAATGTGAAGTAGATCAGTACTGTGTTAATGTTAATGGTAGGAATTTCAGATAGTTGTTTAAAGGTGAGTTTCATATTACTCTATATCCCATTAATGCAGAATGACATAACCAGGACTTCTCAGTTCATTTTTGGAAATATTTGTTAAATGCTTGTATGCTTTGAGGACATGTTTTGGTGAATTTAATTGAAGTCAAGGAGTAAAACTTTTAATAAAGGAAGATAATGTTGATATGCTTTCATCAAACTAAATTATCTAAAAATATGGTCCCAGTGTTGCCATATGATTTGTAAACAGATGCATTATTCATAAAGATTGTCTATTGCCCATGGTGTTTAGAACTTCTGAGTAAGTTCTTTGAGTCGTATCTATATAACATAACCAGATAGTCTGCAACTTGAACTTCAGAACCAAATTTGATGACCTTGATAAGATATAAAACTTTGTGTATAAGGCTAGGGGGATAAGATATAAGCAGACCTCTATTAGGGTGGATACTTTCAAGGTCTAAGTTTCTCTAGGATTCAAAATATCAATTTGTATCTCAAATCTTTAAAGCATTTTCAAAATTGGCAAATTTACTCCCACAATATACCTGAAGTAGTGGATCATCTGTTTCACATTAGGGTAAGTTGAGGTAGATATTTAGAAGTATGTTACAGTTGTACACCAGAAAGAGAAGCTGTGGATTGAGAACTACAAATATGAATTACAACTGGTGATTTAAAATAATTTGTTCATTACATTGGTGGAACAATGCTGGGCCACCGTGCAATGGAAATTTATCTCATGTGAATTTCTACATTCAACAACCTGAGGTCTGGATTTCCTGACCATCCTGTTCCCAGAGTTCCTACGCTGAGGGAATCTAGTGGTTCCCTTCCTAAGGAGAGAGCACTACTGTCTCGATGGAACTTACAGCTGTAATGGAACTTACAGCTCGATGGAAGACCAGCAGTGAACAAGTCATTGCAAGTGTGAGAGCATATATCTGCTAGAAAGAGCTGTAGATGGAGTACCTGACACCACTAAAATGACTCCAAAATGACTCTAATTTCTGACTCTTTCCAGAGTTGTAGATCTATAGTCCCAGTTACATACTTGCAGTGTCAACCTAAATGGAATTGGCTCCTCTAACTCAGCATTGTCTAAATCCAAATTCACCATTTCCCTATTTAAACAACAACCCTTTTTAAGTTTCCTACTTATTTCGGTGACTCTGTCCTTTTTCCTAGTTACTTAGATATGGGCCATCAGCAGACCTGAGATTCATCTCTTATTCCTTCTTTTATTTTGTATTTCATATCCATTCTGTTGACATGTATTAAAGATTCTATTTTGATAATGTCTCTCCTGTCTTACTATTTTTTTCCATTTCTGTCCCCACTAGGCACTGGGCTTTCAAGGAAATTAAGAATACTAATTCATTCATCCAATGAATATTCACTTGTTTATTCAACAAATATTTGCACACCTATTATACAGTATGCCCTGTGCTGGGGATACAATAACAAGACTGTTATTGTATTGTCGTGTTGTTGTATCATTGGGGATACATTGGTAAACATCCATCGCCCTGTTTTTGTGGAGTTTACAGGGTCACAGATGAGATGGATATTAAATGAATAACCGAACAGGACATACATTACAAAACATAAATGCTATGAAGGGAAAGTACGGGGTGCCATGGAGAAGGATAATAGGGGTGTCTGATAAACTTTGATGGGGGAACTCCTCTCTGAGACCTAAGGGACGTGTAAGAGTTAGCTAGAGGAGGAGTGGGAGGAAAAGCCTTCCAGGTAGTGGGAAGAAACCTTGCGGACTCCATTTGTAGTGGAGTGCGGGGTCTTTGAAGCTGGAAAGGAAAGCAAAAGTTGGACTGTGGAAGGTATCGCCAGCATTTAAAGGAGTTCAGATTTTATTCAAGGTGAGACTGAAAAGCCACTGAAGTGTTTTGAATAAAGGAGTGGAGATAGAGATGTATTTGAGTTGCATACAGAAAGAATGAGCAGATTTTGTTGGAAGATTGTATACGAAGGAGAGTGGAGGCTTGATTTCTGACACGGTGATTGGGTAGATGGAGACAGGGAACACAGGTTAGGAATGCAGGATGATGAGTTCAGTTGTGGACATGTTAAGTTGGAGGGAAATAGGGATATCTAAGTGACGGTTTAGGAGGTAAGTGGGTATATGGACATGGACCTGTGCTGTCAAGGATAGCACTCACCTAACAGGGGTTAAAACATACCACTACACAAGAAGATTGACTATAATTATTAGTGCCACATTAATTTGATGACCCAGTGAAAACTTCATGCAGAAAGTGACATTTGAGAGAGCCTGAACAGTGTAATAGAATCTTGACAAATGCTCACTGGTTGTCCACATTAGAGAATGATGAACTCATTGTATTCATAATTTGTTCTAAATTTTGAGGTTGGTGTTTACTGACTGGTGTAGCATGGCAGGGGTGCATTGACCCTTTCTTTGAGGGGTCCTAAAATGATAGTGTCCAAAGATTTTTTCTTTTGTGCTGGTCTCTTTCCTCCAATTTCCTGTCTGGGAGGTTATAAATTGGCTGCCAATGTTATGGGAGTCAAATGGGGGAAGGGAGTTTTGGGTTTACCATTCATATGTGGACTTCTAGTTACTTTCTTTGTTTTAATTATGGCTCCTCTGTCCTTAGAGTATCTGATGACCCTTAGGTTTAACTTTCCCAGACACTAATCTCTGTCAGGGTGAGAGAGAGGAACTCCCTTGCTCTTAGGGAGGGGGTCTGGGGATCTCACTGTTATTTCTCTTCAATAAATTCTCTAGCTCTTAGCCTTATACAGTACCACTTCCAAAGTTTCTTCTAATTCCCAAGACTTTTAGGGGTTCTGAAGGAAGGAAAAGAACCAAATTGTTGCCAATGGGCTTCCTCCTCCAAGAGGAAGCTTGTATTTTGTTTGTTCTGCTGAATCAGCACCATCATCCATTTTCATCCCGGCTTCCAAACTTTTGTCTAGCTCTTCTTGTTCTGTTTGTCTTCCTTCACTGCCTGCGATGGTCTGAATGTTTGTGTCTTCCTAAAATTCATAAATTCAAATCTCTGTGCTCAGTGTGACGGTGTTAGGATGTTGGGCTTTTGGGAGGTGATTAGGTCATGAGGGTAGAGCCCTCATGAAATGGATTAGTGCTGCTAATAAGAGACCCCACAGCGCTCCCTAGACCCCTTTAGCCATGCAAGGACACAAGAAGTCTGTAGCCTGGAAGAGGGCCCCCATTTGACCTTGGTGGCACCCTGATCTCAGATTACCATCCTCTAGATCTGTAAGAAATAAATTTGTTATTTTGTTAGAGCAGCCCAAATGGACTAAGATCTTGTCATTCAGAAGGGAGTCAGAATAAACTTAAGTTTAATCTCCCATGTGTAACAGTAATGTAATTTCTAAAGCATGCCTAACTATAGTGATGGCAAGTACTGGAAGATGATAGCTTAATAAGGTATATACTCCAATATCTTCCTATAATAATATTATTCTTGTTGTAAGAAACACTCCATAAACTTAAATAGTATTTTGAGCTTCAATTATTTAACAGTGATTTAGTGCCATTAGTACTTTCTTTACCTTCAGGCATCCTTTTTTTCTCTTAGGTAAATTTGCATCAGATAATCACTAAATTAAGGAAAGTGTATTTACATAAAACTGTTTTTGGAGACGGCTTACTTTCATTAAAAGAAAGAAGCTAAAGCTGTTAGAAACAAAAGGCACCAGGACAAAAATAGTAAAAACAGTTACATTTAATTAACATTAAAGTTGTGAAATCAATTGATAAAAAATAATGAAACTGGGGGATTTAGGCTGGTACCATAGACTGAAGTCCTGTACCACCCTATGCCTGATGACAGGACTTGGAATGATGGCATCAGGCAATGTAGGTGGTAGAATAGTCCAAGAGTAGTCCAAGATCTTAAGTTACTAGCAGCTTTAAGGAAGTAATTGAAGATTCTCTTTTTTTTCTTCCCATCTTAACAAATGCATTTTTTTAAGCTACAGATTGTTGGATTCTCCCAGAGGAGGACGCCGCCCCAAATCACTCACGAAAGGCGTCTCTTGATGCAACAAGCAAGAGGAATTTATTCAGGAACCAGCTACCTGGGGTTCAAGTGTCAGCCCGACACAGCGGGTCTCAACAAGGACCCTGAGCAGTCAAAGCCGGAGGTTTTTATAGCATTTTAAAAAAAGACAGTATTGTTCTACAAGCACGTAACAGGGTTTTTTTTTCCATAGACACATAAATCTTCAGTTGGCGCCACATCCCGGGGGTTTCACGAGATAAGAACACCCTCAGCCATACAGTGTTTCAGCAAGATAAGCTTGGTATGTATGACTAACTGACCAAGGTTAGCTGTCTGAAGGCCGCAGCTGCCCACCACCTGGTGTTCATGATTAACTTGTTTTTCACCTTGTTTTTCAAGGGCTTTCTGAACATATTCAGAAAATGGCCTCTGGGTTTCTTAAGATGGCTGTGCTCAGGCTAACCTGCTGTCTTCACTGAATGTTTAGGTCCTACATTTCCCCACTTTCTCTTTGATCATTCCAATCATGGAATGTTCGTTTCTTCTTGCTGCGTAAGAGAGTGATACTGCTGCCTCAGCATTAGTACCTGAACGGCACTCACTCTTTCTCTAACAAAGGATATTAGCCGGTTTAAAACACAGGGACCAAAAGTGAGAAGCAATACAAGAATAAGCAGGGGTCCCGTTAGGGTGGATATCAGGGTGCAGGGATGGCCACCAGGTCTTAAGGGGGGCGGCCTTAGAAATAGACCACACTGCCTCTCCTGACTGGGAGTAGACCTGCCATGTCAGTAACCTAGGCTCATGAGGGTTAGTGTTCTGGTGGGTTGGGGTTAGTAGGAGCATTAGAGTCACTAATAACATAATTCTTCCTACACAAGCGAAGCTTAAGAGGGTTATCAGTCCGAGTTACTCGCCAATCCGAGTCCGACTGGGGCGCTTTCTTCAGATGTGAAGCGTGTACCCAGGAGGAGATGCCATCTACTTTCACGGCTGTGGGAGTGGTCAAGAGGACGATGAAGGGTCCTTTCCACCGAGGCTCAAGGTTTCCTGTTCGGTGTCGTCTTATGTAAACGGGGTCTCCCACCTGGAACTGATGAGGCACCGACAGGTCTTCCGGCCGATAGGCTTCCCGGATGGTGGCCCACACTTCTCTCTGTACAACTTCTAGGGCCCGTAACCTTTCAAGCAGAAACTTATTAGTTACACATTCGGGGGATGCGTGGAGGTGAGCCGACTCAAGCGGAGCCGGGGCTCCAAACATTATCTCAAAGGGTGTTAGCCCAAAGCGGCCGGGAGTGTTTCGGACTCGAAATAAAGCGAAGGGAAGGAGGACCAACCAATCACACAAACCAGTCTCTATGGACAATTTAGTCAAGGTCTCTTTTAGAGTTCTATTCATCCTTTCTACCTGTCCTGAGCTCTGGGGCCTGTATGCACAATGCAATTTCCAATCTGTCCCCAGGATCTTGGCCAATCCCTGACTTACCTGGGCAACGAAAGCAGGTCCATTATCGGAACCGATTACCTTGGGGATTCCGAACCTCGGAAAAATTTCTTCAAGTATCTTTTTGGATACCGTCTGGGCTGTCTCGGTCTTGGTGGGGAAAGCCTCTGTCCATCCTGAAAAAGTATCTAAAAAAACTAAAAGGTACTTATGTCCATATTTAGCAGGCTTAATTTCAGTGAAGTCAACTTCCCAGTAAGCTCCCGGCCGATCTCCGCGAAGCCTTTTTCCGCATATCATTTGATGTCTATTCACATTTACTAGTTGGCAAGGAACACAATTCTTCACCACCTCGTCTGCCATTTTTTCTAAACCAATGATATGATAAGGGGAGTGTCGAACCAGGGCTTTTAGGTTCTTGGCTCCTAAATGTGTCAATTGATGTAATTGCCTCAAATATTCTCCTGCCTCTTTCTGGGGCAGAATGTTTTTCCCATTTCCTGACTTATATGTTCCGAGGGGTGAAGATTTTTGGAACCCCAGTTTGTCCATCCGAGCGAGATCCTCAGGTGTATACTGGAAGCTCTTGATACATATTGCTTCCGGGTGCACCTGGAGGGGTAAAATGTTCATTCCCTGAGCTGCTTGTTTTGCGGCTTGGTCCGCCCTCCGGTTTCCTTGAGCTATTGGAGAGTCATCTTTCTGATGTCCAGGGCAATGTATTATCGCTACTTCCTTAGGCCTATGGATGGCGTCTAACAAATCTAAAATTTCCTGTTTGTTTTTAACATCTTTCCCGGCAGAAGTTAACAGCCCTCTCTGTCTATAAATAGCCCCGTGTATATGAGCGGTGGCAAAAGCGTATCGGCTGTCAGTGTAGACGTTAAGTCTCTTACCTTCTGCCATCCTTAGAGCCTGAGTCAAGGCAACGAGTTCCGCTCGCTGTGCAGAAGTGCCCGTTGGGAGTCCGCTGGCCCACACGATCCGGTCATCATCCACTACTGCAGCTCCCGCCATCCTCTTACCTTCCATGATGTAACTGCTCCCATCTGTGTACCAAGTCAGGAGTCCTGGTCCTTCCAGGGGCTGATCTCGTAAGTCCCGGCAGGTCCCTGTCTCCTCAGCCAGGATTTCCTGGCAGGTATGGAGTACTTCTTTCCCCGGATCGGGGAGCAGAGTAGCCGGGTTTAGGATGGCGGGCAGGGCAAATTCCACACGATCGCGATTTAGGAGCAAGGTTTGGTAGTGAGTCATTCTGGCGTTTGACATCCATCTTTCGGGTGGTTGCCGAATTACACTTTCCAGCGCATGTGGAGCAACTACAACAAGCTTCTGTCCCAGAGTTAGTTTATCAGAATCTTTAACTAAGAGGGCCACAGCCGCCACTACTCTCAAGCAGGCAGGCCATCCACTACTCACTGGGTCTAATTTCTTTGACAAGTAAGCGACTGGTCTCTTCCAAGGTCCCCATTGCTGGGTCAACACTCCCCGAGCCACTCCGCTCCGTTCATCCACAAAGAGGACAAATGGCTTAGTCACATCTGGCAATGCCAGAGCAGGTGCCGACAAGAGGGCTTTCTTAATATCATCAAAGGCCTGTTGTTGTTCAGGTCCCCATACAAACGGGACCGCCCCTTTGGTTAGGGGATACAGAGGGGCGGCTAAGGTGGCATATCCAGGTATCCACAATCTACAAAACCCTGCCATCCCCAGAAACTCGCGAACCTGGCGTGGAGTAGTGGGAACCGGGATCTGCATCACAGTCTGCTTTCGGGCTTCAGTTAGCCACCTTTTCCCCTCTCTCAGGGAATATCCCAAATAAGTCACTTGTTGTTGACAAATCTGTGCCTTCTTGGCAGATGCCCTATACCCCAATTTAGCAAGTTCAGTCAAAAGGGCTCCAGTGGCCTCTTGGCAGGCTTCCTGAGTAGGGGCTGCTATCAGTAAGTCATCAACATATTGTAATAAAGTTACCTGTGGGTTGGAGGCTCGGTAAAAGGCCAAGTCCTGATGTAAAGCCTCGTCGAAGAGGGTGGGTGAATTCTTGAATCCTTGTGGCAAGCGAGTCCAGGTCAATTGTCCAGTAGTTCCTGTGGAGGGGTCTTTCCATTCAAAAGCAAACAGCGGTTGGCTACTCTGGTGCAGGCGCAAACAAAAGAAGGCGTCTTTTAAATCTAAGACTGTATACCAGGTGTTTTCCGGGGCCAGGGAGCTTAGCAGGTTATAAGGGTTCGGCACAGTGGGATGAATGTCCTGTACCCTTTTATTAACTTCTCTTAAATCTTGCACTGGTCGATAATCTCCTGTTCCCGCTTTCTTTACAGGCAGTAAGGGAGTGTTCCATGGGGATTTACATTTTACTAATATCCCCTGCTCTATGAGCCGCTGGATATGGGGTCTAATTCCATCTTTGGCTTCTTTACTCATTGGATATTGTCTCACAGTCACTGGTAGGGCTGAGGCTTTTAATTCTATGACCACCGGGGGCTGGTTCACAGCAAGCCCCATACCCGCCGTCTCCGCCCAGGCCCTTGGAAACTGGTTGAGCCACCCCTGACTAACTCGGGAGGGTTCTGGTTCCTTAAAAAGACGGTACTCGTCTTCTAATCTAATGGTCAGGATACTTAGGCCCAAAGGTTTTTTCTCCCGATTAGTCACTCGAGTGTCTTCAGCCTGAAAGGATATTTGGGCCCCGACTTTGGTCAAGATGTCTCTTCCTAATAGGGGTGTGGGGCATTCCGGTATGACAAGGAATGAGTGGTTTACTCGTCCCACTCCTAAGTCTACCGTTCTTTGGGTAGTCCATGCATATTGTTTCTGACCTGTAGCCCCGAGCACCCAAGACTTTTTGCCAGAGAGGGGGCCCCTAGCTTGAGTCAGTACAGAATGTTGAGCACCGGTGTCCACCAGAAACTCAACGGGTTGCCCCTCCACCTTCAGGGTTACCCTAGGCTCGGGGAGGGGCTCCGAGCCCCGTCCTCCCTAATCTTCTTCCTCCAGCAGAGACAACACCTTCTTCGGAGGTCCCCGCGGTGGCTTCTTAGGGCACTCTTTCACCCAATGCCCCTTTTCTTTGCAGTATGCACATTGGTCCTTCTCTAAAGGGGTCCGGTTGCCCAGGTGCCCTGCCTTGCTAGTTCTGCCACTGGAGGGCGACTGTCCCTTACCTTCTACTACTGCGGCCAAGATCCTTGCTAAATTCTTCTCATGCCTTCTATCTCTTTTTTCTTCTTTACTTTCTCTTTCCTTAACTCTTTTTCTTCCTCAGTCTCCCTCTTGTGATAAACTTTCTCAGCCTCTTTTATCAAATCTTTCAACGACAAATCTTGTAAACCTTCTAGCCTCTGAAGCTTCTTTCTAATGTTGGGTGCTGACTGCCCGATAAAAGCAAGGGCCACTGAAGCACTATGCTCCTCAGAAGTGGGACCAAAAGGAGTGTACCACCTGAAGGCTTCCATCAGGCGTTCTAAGAACACTGCGGGTGCCTCGGTGGCTCCCTGACTGAACTCTCTTACCTTGGCCAAATTGGTGGGGCATCTGGCAGCCCCACGGAGACCCGCCACCAAAGCCTGGTGATAGATGGTTAGTCGCTCCCTACCTTCTGGAGAATTAAAGTCCCAGTTGGGTCTGGTCAACGGAAAACCCCTCTCTATGTCATGAGGGAGTTGCGATGGTCATCCATCGGTCCCAGGCACGTTCTTTCGTGCCTCCAGGAGGATCCTCTCTCTTTCTTCCATGGTGAAGAGCACCTGCAAAAGCTGCTGACAATCATCCCAAGTGGGCTGGTGAGAAAACATTAAGGACTCTATTAGCCCAGTTAGTCTTTGTGGTTCCTCTGAAAAGGGAGGGTGATTAGCTTTCCAATTATATAAGTCAGCAGAGGAAAATGGCCAATATTGCAGAGGTTGGAAAGGGGGTTCTCCCTCTTCCCCGATGATGGGAACTCCATAGGACCGGAGAGGAAAAATACCCGATGGGTCCAAGGTGGCCCCTCGGTGGCGCCGAGTTCCCTGGGCAGGCCCCGGAGCCACCCCCACTGCCTCGGCATCAGGGACTGAGGGTGCCGGGGGTGGCGGCGCCGGCAGTGCTGGGGGAGCCGGGGGTGGTGGCGCCGGGGCTGGGGGTGCCGTAGGGGCAGGGGGAGCAGGGGGATAAGGAGGGGGATCATCAACCATAAGCAAATCTTGAGTGTCAGGGTGAACTCTGGTAGTAGTTTCTTTTTCCTTGCCCTGAAGTTTGGTCTGGGCAGCTAGAACTCGAGGGCCCTTTTTCTTTTGCACCCAGGGCTTTACCCAGGGCGGTGGGTTTTCCACCAACTCTTGCCAGACTACAATGTAGGGTTGCTGATCTGGATGTCCTTGAGGCGAATCCTGGAAGACAACGGCTTTTACTGCTAATAAAGTGGGGAAATCAAAAGTCCCCTCCGAGGGCCACCCAACATTGAAGGTGGGCCATTCGGAGGTACAGAAAGTCTGCCATGGTCCCTTTTTTACTTCTACTGACAAGTTATGCGCCCTCGCTCTGACTTCCGTCCAATGATCTAACGTCAGGCTAAGGGGGGTTGTCACTGTCTGTCCCATTGTCAGTACAACAATAATTAGGCACGTAAAAGACACAAAAAACAAAGACACACACAAATTAGACACACAGCGGCCGCTTTTCGTTTTTCTCAGATTTTCAATCAGAAACCGAAATGAATCGGAGGGTTGATACTCCTGGCACCCAAAAATCAACCCTATCTCATCAGGTTCACTTTGCCGGAAAAACAGATGAGAGGCTACCAGGCGTCCCTGGCCCTCCAATCTCCCCGAGGCGTCCCCCAGGGTTGCAGCCTGCGGCACTCCAAGTACGTCTACCGACCGCAGTCTCGACCCCTTTATGGGATCGGGACGACTGCCAGACAGAGGGTACCCTTTCAGAATTCCGACCGGTCTCACTGAAAAACAGAAAACAGAACACAGACAACTCAAGGCGCCACTAACCTTACCTTTTCCTCCAAGAGCAACTTCGGGAGTGAAGCGGGGTGAGCGCACGATCCCGGACGAGCCCCCAAATGTTGGATTCTCCCAGAGGAGGACGCCGCCCCAAATCACTCACGAAAGGCGTCTCTTGATGCAACAAGCAAGAGGAATTTATTCAGGAACCAGCTAGCTGGGGTCCAAGTGTTAGCCCGACGCAGCGGGTCTCAACAAGGACCCCGAGCAGTCAAAGCCGGAGGTTTTTATAGCATTTTCTAAAAAGACAGTATTGTTCTACAAGCACGTAACAGGGTTTTTTTTCCAAGGACGCATAAATCTTCGGTTGGCGCCACATCCCGGGGGTTTCACGAGATAAGAACACCCTCAGCCATACAGTGTTTCAGCAAGATAAGCTTGGTATGTATGACTAACTGACCAAGGTTAGCTGTCTGAAGGCCGCAGCTGCCCACCACCTGGTGTTCATGATTAACTTGTTTTTCACCTTGTTTTTCAAGGGCTTTCTCAACATATTCAGAAAATGGCTTCTGGGCTTCTTAAGATGGCTGTGCTCAGGCTAACCTGCTGTCTTCACTGAAAGTTTAGGTCCTACAAGATCAAATTTCTTCATATTTTCATAATTAAACCTTTACAAAATACAGAACAAGCTCAGACTTTTATAAAATTTTCCATACTTCTGTTGTATTTACAAACTCTGATTAGTAAAGATAGACTCATTCATCCATCCATCAACTCATTCAAGAAATAATGAGGGAGGGAGAAGGGGATTGAGGGGTATTATGATTAGTACACATGGTGTGTGGAGGGTCATGGGGAAGACAGTGTAGCACAGAGAAGATAAGTAGTGATTCTGTGGCATCTTACTACACTGATGGACAGTGACTTCATTGGGGTATGAGGGGACTTAATAATATGGGTGAGTGTAGTAACCACACTGTTTTTCATGTGAAACCTTCATAAGAGTGTATATCAATGATACTTATAAAAAAAGATGGGAAAAAAAAGAAATAATGAGCACCAATTTTTTGAGCACCATTTCTGTTAGAATATATTGGTGGATACAATGGTGAGCAAAAGGAAATACAGTCCATGTTGTCAGGTAGCTTTTAGTCAAGGAGACGAGACATACATTAATTAACTAAGCCTATGAATCAAATAAACTGAGATAAATGTCCTGAAGAAAAAATAACAAATTTTGTTGGCAGGCATATATGAAAGAGTCTTACCTGTATTGGAGGGCCAGGGAAAACTTCTGGAAGGAAATGGCAGTTGAGCTGAGAGTTTAAGAATGACAATTTAACTAAGTTAAATGGATAGTGGGATGATAGGGCAGTATTTACCAGCACAGCTAGAGGGAATGCAGGTATTTGTTGAACACAGGAGACAAAGCCCGAGTGGGCAGGCCTTAAAGAGGACCAGGATTGGGATGGAGAAGTAAAAAGGATCAGCTCATAGAATAATGGGAACCTGCACTATTGGGAGTGGGAATGAAGGAGTAATATAAGAGGAACATTTTTTTTCAAATAACAGTATTTGCATGGGAGATACTAAAACTGACTTGTGTATCATCACAGCTATTCCAACCAGGTGAAGCTGATCAAGGACCGTGAAGTTGAATGACACCCACCCCACACTTTCCACCCCAGGATACCAGACTCTTACTGGATCTAACTGAAGACCCTTTCCTGATTAATGAACAATGAATGGGACTTACTTGTTTTAACCAACTATGTAAAGATATATAGACTCATCTACACCACTTTGTAGCGTTAGTTTTCCATGCTTATTATTACGAATACAATGAGTTCTTCCTTTCTGGCACTTCTGATCTCCCAGCCCTCCTCCCACCTGCTGTGGATTTCTTTACTTGTAGGTGTTTTCCTTGCCTGGCAAGGAAATATTTAGCTTTTAATTTTTTATCTTAAATGTTTTATTTATTTATATTTTGACAGCAAGATATGGGGAGTGGGTCATATCAGATCTGAATGAGAAAAAATCCTCTCTGGATGCAGTCTGGAGAATGTGTTGAAGAATTAATTAGTGGATGCCAGGAGACAAGTTAGATACTGCCGTTCTCCAGGCCATAGATGGTAACATCTAGCTTGCTCTAGAATGGGGGGGGGATGGGGAGAGGGGGGAGACAGACAACAATGGACAGATCTGAGTGCTATCCAGGAGGCAGACCCCCAGGACTTGGGGATGGATTGAAAATGGGGGGTAGAGGGAAGAATCTTCTAGCCTGGAGGGGATGGTGAAGTCAGTCACTCAGGTGGGGAAGCCTGAAAAGTCCAGGTTGGAGGCTGGAAAGAGAAGATTAGGAGTTTAGCATTGCTTTGTTTATCATCATCCTTTTTTTTTTTTGTATGAGAATCAGAAGCTTTACAGAATTAGGTTATTATATATACTATATGTCAGAGTCATTAGACCTATAGTTTTCCCTGCATAGTACTCTTGATGTATCTTTTTAGATTGTGCTTGGGCAATCCTACTCACATTTTTCATGGTTAACAAACAGTGGAATAACAGTCATTTCAAATCACATTGTAATGGAAGTCATGTATAAAGGTGTTGTGTGGTTTTGCTATGGGTCATTTATGCTGAGTGGAGCACATATTGAGAGTTCAATAAAAAAAACAAAAAAGCAAAGGCTTCCTTACATTGGTGCATTGCAATGTATGAATATTGTTTTGGATGAATGCCCAAACATGGGCATGGGGAAACATTAACTATTGCTCACTCAGCATTGATTCATGGTGGTAGCAGGTTTAGATGAAAACCTTTGATCAATGGACTGTTACAACTAAATGGTCTCACTGCCTAGGGAAGAGAAGAAATGCTGATTCTTTTTTAAAAATAAAGTTTTCTGTTCTTATTAAAGTAATATGCTTTCAATACAGAAAATACTAAAAATAAAATTTTGATTCTAGAGTCTTTTTTTTCCACACAGATGTCAGAGGATTTTGTGTTTTCTTTCTTTTTTTGTTTGTTTTAGGATAGACAGGAAATGGGAAACCCAAACAATCTAAACAGAATCTCTCAATTCTCTCTGTAACCCAAAATTCTGGTTGTTTTAAAATTTAACTCACAATTACATTATCCATAACACCACAGTGTGACTAGATGAGAAGTAAAATAACATGCTTATGTCTGTTATTCCCACTAATTGATCTTTAAGGAGCTAATACTGGTCATATTTTTGGTAAACCTCTAATGTTCACTTTTAAAGTACTGCTGCAACTCTTTTTAAAAAGTAACTTCTTGTTTTTGTTTAATATTATTTATCATCTTATTTAAGTGCATTATATTTATTTTACATTCTTGTTATGTCTTTTCCAATATTTCCACTTGTTGATTTTTATTATAGAGATTGACCTCCTTAGGTGTCAGATCTAATGAATTAATGGATGCCAGGAGACAAGGGGAGCAGAATATGACACCCCAAAATATGCCTCTTTGGCATATGGATTATTTTGAGCTGATTAGTATGAGTAATTTAGCCCAGGAGAAACTCTGAAACAGAGTAGAAGTTCTTCTCATTGGAGAGAAATTTTCATTAGGAAGGCATCCTGTATCAGAAAGAGAGCTGTGACCAGAGATTTCCTTCTCATGAGAGACTCATCTGCAAGGCAGGGCAAACTTTGTTTACCAAACATATCCTCTTCTCTTCCTGTGAATTGACTTCCTCCCCTTTGAAGCCCACACCTGTCTCTTTCCTTAGCTCAATTGCCTGGCTGCCTTTTGGAGACTCATGTGGTGGGTCTCCCAAAGGTAATCAAAATTTCCTCCCGTTAATCTGACTGACTGCTGTGTTTCATCATGACTTGTTCTAAGCAGTTGAAGCTGATAAAGGACCTTGAACACTGAGTGGACTGACCCCCCAGACCGCTGACTAGACCTGACAGAAGACTCTTTTCTGGCTAGTAAACAATGGGATTTGTTTTAACCAATTGTGTTGAAGGGGAGCAGAATTTGCTACCTCCAAATACGTTTCTTTGGCATAAGGTTTATTTTGAGCTGATTAGGAAAGAGCAGACACAGGAAAAGTTCTGAAAACAGAGATGTTGCCCATTTGTGAGGGAAATTTATAAGGGAAATATCCATTTTTAAGGGTATCTTCCTCTCCGTACCAGGAAGAAAATAATGACTACATCTCTAGAAACTCTTACAAATAGAGACGGCAGAGACTTAAATCTGCTTAACAATCTTACTCTTGTTTATTTTGCTTTTCTTGGTAACCTCCCATAACTGGCCTCCTCCTCATACATGCTCACACACACGTTTTTCTTTCCTGTTTAAACTCAGGGAATTTAGGTTCAGGAGCCATATGAAATGTTGCTTCAGTTTGCAAAGTTCTTTCTGTTTGCAGTGACACTTTCTTGCTTAGTTGACTTAGAATTTGCTGTATTCTGTTGTCAGTTGGGATTTATTTTGTAAAATGAAATCATAATGCCAACAGAGAATTTAAAGTGCATAATGGCCTATAAAAATGAGAACATTTAGCCACAATCAACATAACTTTTTCCGTTTTAAATCATGGTCAAAATTGGAAAGGAAAATTTAAAAGTATGATTTCCTTTTTTTTTCCCAGCAGGCATTATTAAATATAGAAAGCTTGAAATTTCAGAAACAGTCTATGTTAACATGATTTAAATAAAATATTCTGGTAAGATCATATAAAAAATAGAAATCTGGGGGTAATCTTGGTGCTATATTTTCATTGTACACTTTAAAAGATGTTCTTTTGCCAAATTCAAAATCAGTTAAAAAATTGCAAGAATACTTATATTTTGCTCCCAGATGATTCGTTGAAAATAACATCTTTTGATTTTAAAAGCAATGAAATTTTTATTATAACATTTAAAAAAATTTAGCCAAGTACAAATAAGAAAGAAAAATTTGTTTAAAGAAGAACTACTTTCTAGAGACAGCCACCATTTATTATGTATCATGCATGATAAATTACCATAAACTTAGCAGGTTAAAACAATCATACACATTTATTATCTCATAGTTTCTGTAGGTCAGAAGTTCTGGCACAGCTGGATTCTCTGCTTCAGGGTCTTTCCAGGCTGTAACCAAAATGTTGGCTGGGTTGTATTCTCATCT